CTTATGACTTCTGAGCTATACCTGCAGAAACATACTGCACAGGTCCAATCTTCTTCTGTATCAATTACAGTTTTTTTTTTTTAATTGTACTTTTGTTTATAATTGCTAGGACCCGAGTTTTTTTTTCTTCTCGTTTTCGCTTTCTTTCTGCTTTCAACTCCTCCGCTTTAATTTTGTCCAACTCTTTTTTCTCTTCATATTCTTGAAATTGTCTTGAAGTGACAACTGATGGCATTTGTAATCTACGCCGTACGGTTTTTTTTTTTTTTTTGTGGAGATTTTGGCTACAGAAGATTTCGTTTGAAAGGTGATAGTACACCTTCACCGCTAGTTGAAGGCGAAATTTTTTTAGCAAGTATTTCTCTCCTTTTTTCTTTAAATGCAGTTGCAGGAGTATTTTTTTGAAAGCATCTTGCAGTGAAAGTACTTGGAGCTCGATTTGGAGTGTTGTTGATTACCAAATAATTGCTTCTATCATTTTCTTCATCAAGTGGACTTATAGAAATGTTACTAGTATCATATATCAAAATATTAAATTGAAGACTACTTTTTCGCCAAATATCAAACAAATGTTAGCTTTGTTCTAAGCCATTCCATTTTTCATTTATATTTTCTTTAAATCTGCAATCATATTTGGCTCTTTCTATATAATTGTGTCCTCTAATATTATCTTCGTTTCGCTCGACGGTTGTGACAGGTTCTACTTCTAGTTCAACTTCTTTTGTGATAAACTTAAAAAAATTAATGGCACTCGAATCCTATGGAAACAACCCCGTTGTTCGAAATCCATTCTTTACAGTTTCTTTGGTTAGCCTAGTATTTATAACTTGATTTAGCAGAGGAGCAAATTCATACTTGCCTAATGAATCTTGGGACTTCATTCGCCAATCTAGAACTTGCTTTGCCCATTCATTTTTTGAGGGGTCAAAAAATAGCAACATCTAAAGGCTGTTGTATGTGAGTTGAGTCTGGGTAAAAAGCTATAATATGAATCCCTTTTTTCTAGCAAAATATTCCAAGATAATATGTCAGATGGACACATGATTATCTAAAAATAGAATAATTGGTAGTTGTATTTTATTTTCCATCAACCTTGGATAAAATATGTTGGCCACATATTCAAAAAATTTCTCTCCAGTAATCCATCCTTAGTCACTAACTGCCATGAACCAATCACTTGGTATTGTATTTGCTATAACTTTTGACATTCGTTTTCCAGAGAAAAACAACATGGTTGGTGCCACTATACCATTTGCAGAAATATTCACCAATATTGTAATCTGCTGTTTATCATTATTTTCACAAACTTCATAAATATTCTTTTCTCCCTTTATACTCAGTACTTTTTCCCCTTTTGGACAAAGCATGAATCCAGACTCGTCAGTATTGAAAAGCCTTAACGGATTTTCGAGAATTTTCATCTAATTATTTTCAATTAAAAAGTCTTGGACATTATTGAATCAATTTAATATGTGAGTTTTTGTAACCAGACTCCTTGATTTGGTAACTTTTTTGACAGTTAGGATTTCTTTTCATGAAGAGTTTGAACCATTTCTTCTAATTCAATAGTCGCCAGAATCAAGAAAGCGGCATCCACAAGGTTTGAGGTCCTCTCCGAGAATCAGGTCCTAGATAACCAGGGCCTGAGACCGGATTTGATTCTGAAGAAAGGCCCAAACATTTACGTGGTTGACGTCACTGTGCCTTTCGACAACCGGCTAGGTTAGGTTAACCAAATATGAGGATCTAAGGACAGAGTTGGCAGTTGTACCATTTATTATTGGTGCCCTGGGGTCATGAGACCCAAGTAACGACACTTTCATAAAGGTGCTTTGTAGCCGGTTATACACCACTTTGATGAGGATATTATGCGTGAGCGGTACAATTTTTTCATCCAGAGACATTTATATTGAGCACCTGTCCGGGATGACATATGTGTGTGTATGTAAAATTTTTTTATCTTGACAATTTATTTTTTATATATTTAAAAAAATATATATATATATATATTATTACAAATCGCATTAACATATGCCTCCAGTAAAAAGAAGGTTCCTCCCACGTGGAAAATAGAAGTAACGGTGTTAATCTACAAGAAAGGGGAGGAGGATGACCTGAACAATTGGCGGCCCATCTCACTCAGCAGGACGCTGTATCGGCTAAGACCTGACACCCGAGATCAAGGAAACTCTCTATCTCCCCCAAGAGACGTCGGGGGAGTATATATATGGGTCCACGAAGATAGGGTGCTGTGGTGTCAGGCTGCTCGCCGAGGACTCAGACATCGCGGCAGTGGACAGTGCCTTCAAGCTGTATACCTCACCCGATCCACGTTTTGCGGCAAACGCGGCTAGATTTCCTCCATGCCATCCGCGACATCTATAGATATCGGTGTAACATCAACTGTGAGCGTGACTGGAGAGATGGCCGGTGACATGTCGGCGCTGTCTGGAATCAAGCAAGGATTCCCCTTGAGTGGCCTCCTTTTTATCATGGCTATCGACCCGGTAGTAACGCGTTTACAAGGAGCTTATACAAGTTTACTAATTATAAAAGTAAAAATATTCATCTTCAAATTAATTTTTATTTTACAAACTGCAGTGTCATAGTACTTGTTATTTTAACACTTACTAATTTTCATTTTCTTACCAATAGGTATTTAATAATAATGCAATTTATTAAATATAGCAAAATATTTTAATATTATTATATTATGTTATTAATTGCCAAGTATAAAATTAAAATAAAGTAACACAAACAACCAAATATATTTATTTTGGTTAATATACCAAAACTTATGATGACAGTAGTAGCAAATTTATGTACTACTTTAATCACATAATTAAATACTAAAATGTTAATACCTATACTACTAGTTTATATAAGTAATTTAAAATGTTTGGCTATTAGTAAGACTTGGAAATTGTAGGAGCTTAAAAAGGCAAAATGCGCATGCAAATATACTCAAAAAAATTGTAAAATATGCATTAAAAATATGAAATATGCAAAAAAATTATTTTAAATTCCAAAGAAAAAAAATAAACAAATAAATACATCAGATGTTGTTAGTAAATTAATAAAGTAATTTATATAAAAACTGTTTATAACTGATAAGCATTTTGACATCTTAATGAACTGTAAATATAACTAAAAATATTTTTTCAGTATTTTTGAAATTAAGAAAAAATACATGTTTTCTAATACTTGTTAAGTTATTGCACTGAACTACCACCGATGGTTAGGTTAGGTTTGCTGTTATTGATTTAATTGTTGACTGTAACGATGACAATAAATACTTTTGTTAATAATTTTGAGTTTTATAATCAATATCATTTAAAATGTACAAGTTAAGAAAGAAAAAAATCAATTTTTTTTTGAGAAAAATGGAATATGCATATTTTGTATTATACGTATAAAATTAATGAAAAATGCACTGTTTTAGCTAAAATTGACAAAATATGTATAATATAAATTTTCAATATTAAATTTTTTAACTCTTCACTGTACAGTTTAGATTTCTACCTTGGTCTGCTATAAATTGAAAATGTACTGAAGAATATGCAATTCTTACAACTTCCGAATCCTAGTTATTAATATATTCAATTAAACATTCTCTTTATAAATTATTATAAATGACTAAATAGCAAAAAAAAATAAACATTTATAGTTAAGTCATTTGTGTATGTTATTCAAATAATTTTTGTATTTATATATATTTACATTTAGTTAATAAAATATATTTTGGATTGCACCATTGACAATACTAAATAATATGCAGTTTTCTAGTATTCATTATGATTTTAGTCAGTTATTAATGTTATTACTAAAGACCGGATTTATATGTTTTTACACATCGTTACTGAGTCTATGCAGTCTTATGAGAGTAAAAAATGTGGACAATTCGTTTAATTCTGAGTTCATAGAAAAAAGTTTTTTTTGCATATTTGAGAATATTTTATAGGTTAGAGAATATTTAACCCATTAAGCATATTTTAGAATATTTTATAAATTGTGTGAAAAAAATATTTTATTATTATTATTTATTATTTATTTTACCCTGAAAATCATTGTGATAAAAAAAAAACATCCAACTCATGATAGCACTTAATCATAAATCACAGTACCGTTCACTAAATATGGTGGCTGATCTGCAATTCTGGCAGTTGTTTTCATACTGATAAGATCAACGTATACGTTTATCAAATATTCAAACATCCAAATTTTGTTTTACTCTTTTCTATTTTTAACTCTTGTAATTAGTAATTTTATATGAACGTTAAAATGAATAAATTAAAAAAGTCAGTCAATTTTAAAAACTTATTAATAAAACCTATTATGTTTTGTATTTATTATTTTTGTTATTTTTTTATATTATGACTATAGTGTTTAATACAACATTTAATTAAACTATACCAAAGGAATATTGTATTTAAATTTTAATACTATATAGACTATACTGTTATATTTTTACAATATTCCTACACTTACTGATATATAATAGTATTCCATTTTAATACGCAAGTACATATATACCGACCTCACGTTTAAAAGAATGTAGAAAAAAAAATTGTAAAAATGCATAATTAGCGCATATATTGATGTTTGTTGATTATTTTTGCATATTTTTTAAGATTTTTATGAGAATATAATGAGAATATTTGAAGGTTTTTTTTTAGAGAATATCAGCATCATATTTAAAGTATTTTAAGAGAATATAAATCTGGTCTTTAGTTATTACTAACTATATAAATGTATTTTCAATCACTTCTTAATTATTATATTTTGATAATTAGGGAAATCACGTAAAACCAATATTTTCATAAATAAGTACACGGTATTTTAAATTTTAAAATATTATCATATTTATGTATTAGAAAACTTCAATGACACAGTACCTTTTAATGTTTAATTAGTAATTTGTATATATTTAATGATATTTAATTGTAATACAATTTATTATAAAAAAGTGAAATTTTACTAAATATATTTAATGTGATAACTGCAATATTTAATAGGGAAAATAGGAGTTTGATTAATTTATAAAACATTAAATCCAAACACACAACTTTTAGAAATAAGTCGCTCAATGAGAAGTTTTTCTTCTTGGTTTGCCACTTGATTTTTTTTTTCCACTCGATTTTTTTTTTGGTTTGCCACTACCACATGGTCCAACGATAAGGTCATCACTTACAGTATGAGATTCATCTTTTGGATCAGCACAAAGTTGAGGGATTTTCTTTGTAAATGGCATTTCAGGTTGCATTGGGTATGGAGTCAGTTCTAACTTCTCAAATTCACCATTTTCCATTCTGTAAATATTAAACAGTATCAAATATAGCAATATTCCACATACTTAAAATATTTACTTAAATGCTAAACCAATATAAGCTGGATGGTGTGCATTGGCAATATAATGACTCAAACCACAAGCTGACAAAGTTCTTGTCTCATCCAAAATCTTTTTTTTGTAGTATAATTGTTGATTTTCAGGAGATACATTTAAAATAGCTAAAATTTAAAAAACAATATTGATTATTTATTCATAAAGCTTCATTAAAATTATTACAATGTATACAGCTTTATTTATTTGTTTAAATAAAAAATAAAAATAAATGTATATACCTACGAGTGAAAATTAGTTAGTTTACATTAAATTTATATATTTAATTACCTTTAAAATATATTAGTTGATAAAATTACAATTAACAATTGTATAATAATAATACATTATATTAGGTATCAATATAAATTATGGTAATTTATTTACAAAATTGTATTAAATTTGCTTATGTTTAAAATCATTCTTGGTGCAAAAAATTTTAGTCACTAATACATTTTAATGACTACTATACTATTTTTATTATTGTGGAGGTGGTTCAGGGATTAACAAATATCCTACTCAAAAAAACTGTCCAGGTACATCACAGAATCGGTCTACTGGAAGTACCAACATTTTTATCAAAAATATAGCTATTTTGTGTTTAAAAATAACCTTAGAGTATTATGAATTATGATTTACAGCTTAATTAACTATGTATGAATGTACATACTATGTGTCAAGTGCAGGTTTTATCTTTGAAAATTACTCACATTCATAATAATTTGCTATCTATTCGTGTATAGACAACAACTTCTGTATACAACTAAATAATTGTCAATGCTTATTTTTTTTTTAAAACCTCTCATGTATCATTTTATTATATTTTATCACTACTTTTAAAGGTATTCAATTTTAAATAGTACCTACACCATTATCAAACTATCCTGTAATAATGTACTGAGAAGAAAATAATGGCAAACACTAGTAAGGTATTGGTTTTCTATTATATTGCTTACAATTAATCGTTTATATAATAATATAATTTAATTTAAGTTATAATATAGCATAAAATAGCCTTTGCTGTTTTATAAAATTTAAGGTTCAGATTATTCCATTCCATAAACAGACACTTATAGGAATAAGCAATCAATTTAAGTACATAGAAACTGTAAAAACTTTTAAGTTACACCAAAAAATAATTCATTTTAATAGAGTACAAATGGATAAACGTTTTATCAAGGTTTCAGTCCTTTACACAATAGTTTAGTATGATATACATATACACTGGTATAATTTCATGAAAAATAATTAGATTTTATGCTATTATTTATATTAACAGTTGACCTTACTACCTGTTCTGTTTAGTATAACTTAATAAAGAATCTAAATATTCATAAAATTATTTGAAAATTATTATACATACATTCAATTATACACTTGAGATCTCGAATCAATAAGTTGTCAATAACATCTGTTAATATGTATTGCATTTTTCGCTGTATCACAAAATAGGCGTTCTAAACAATAAAATACAGTTGTTCAAATATTAAGATCTAGTTTGGTTTTGGATAATATAAATTAGTGTGTATAAATAAACTTACCATTTTAGAAAATGCTTTATGAAAATTGCTTAACCTCTTAAAGAAACGAATTATCTGTTAATAAATAAATTACGGTATTATTAACAAAAAATTGTAATCAAGAAAATCAAAGAGGGTGTGGCTTTGCCTTATATTATCATATCTTACAAATACAGTATATGAAATAATGGTGGTACACAAGTTATAATTATTTTTATTATTTTATAAACACGATACAACGTTACCACATTTGCTCTGGTCTCGACGGCAATGAACGCTACGCAGCCAACTCAGTATCGAAGTCTTGTTTGTACACCGTCGTCATATCAAAATTTTCACTTGTTTCTAAATTTATATTTTGTTATGTTATATCATATCGTCTATCGCTTATAAAACTTCACTGTTGAGATTGTATTATGTTATGTTCTGTTGCTAATACATTTTATCTTTATTAATGACTTAAAGGGCTAATTTAGTTTTAGTATAAGCACCATATCATTATTGTTATCAATAGAATTGTAGCGGTCAGTTACTATTCATATGTTACCAATGTAACCGCGCAGCAGTTGTACGTAGTTTCAGGTCGGTCAAACGACATCATCTCCCACCATCACCAGTTTATCGACCCTTTTCGCCGAAGTCTTCTGCCGCGTCGGATCTTTCCGTACATCCATGTTATCCTGCGTATATACTTTTTTCAATTTGTTTAAGTTTTGTCGCAATAAACCACTAAATATAATTAATTCTGCATCTTTTTCTGTTAATAGTGTTATTACCCTTTAATTCAATTTAGCTAGTGTATGTTACACATCGACAACCTTTATCCAGATAGATTAATTATTAGGGTTGCTATAACTACTCCTAAAAACACCTGCTACCTACGGTTTAATAATAAGTACTTCGAATTTATTACTTCGAACATAATATAATGTCATGATTACAACTAGTCAAATATACTAACTAATTCCTATTTCCTGTGCAGCTACTCTGAAAACATTTCTGTAACGTAAGATTACTTCAAAATTGAAAATTTATACTAATACACTAGTATAATAAAGTTAGAGTTTGTTTTTCCGTTTGAATGCGCTAATATTTGGTACTACCAGTTAGATTTGAATAGTTCTTTTTGAACTATCAACTAAACTATAGACTACTTTACATCACGTTACAACCATTTAAAGCCGAGAAAAAATCAAAAAAAATCACAAAGAACTCTTAACGAAAACGAAGTAATGGCGTGGATCGGAGTCAACAATGTTTATAATATCAGTTATAATGAAATAAGTTCTAAAAAATTCACGTAGTTTTATTCGTCACCATCAGTCATAGATCGACATGTTACCTTAAATGAGTTAAAAAAAGAGGGAATAAAAAAATAGGAAATGGAAATGTTCATGTTAAATGTGCAAAGGCCTCAATATTTCTTAATCCGGGCTTGATTAAACCTACTAAAAAAAATAATTACTTTTAGTCTATTCAATAATAATATCAAGAGTGAGACACGAATTACAACTTTACAAAATGCAAATGAACCTGTACGTAAATACATTGTATTACGAGTGTCTGGCTAAAAATTGTGATGGCTTGATAACATCGATAATGTATCATCTACTAAATCATATATTTATTGAGGCTGATATTATTGTTAATGAACAACAGTTTTCATTACATGACTTTCCTGTGGAGATGTGTTAACTCACAAAAGTACCTAAGTTTAAAAGTGAACCAGTTTATTATTATATTATTGTTAATAATATCAACGATATTTTTTCCACTAAGAACAATTAAATAAATTAAAAACGTTACTGTATATAAAATTAAACAATACATCTGTTATTTTTAGGCTTGTTTATCGAGCCATTACTTAGACGTAAACATCAATAATAAAAATAACAAAAATGATATGCATTTAGAAATAAACATACAAATTTTGAATGAAAATATATGTTACTTTAGTATTATTAAATTCCTGAGGTCTAAGCAATTATTTAGAGAATCAAAGATATTATCACAACCTTCGACCTGTAGTAAAATAGGCTTGTGAAATCTGGTTATTGACTAAAGGTGATAACAGAAAGCTTATTACGTTCGAAAGAAAAGTGTTATCAACAATAAATGGACTAATTTTTAATCCAAAAATATCGTGCAGGCATATGAAAGAAAAAGTAATGAAAATATAAAGAGGCTACATAATAGGCCAGACAAACTCTCCTTTAGTTGGAGAAAACGACTAATGTATATTGAGCACGTACGGAGTGAAAAATGGGCATCTAATTAAAAATATATTAGTCAACAAAATAAGTAAAATAAAACCCGATAGTTAGACAAAAATACAATCTTACAAACAGGGTATCAAAGAGGTAGAGAGAGATTTTGATAGCAGTATTAGTCCTGAAATATCGTTAAGCTATGAAGATAAAGATACTTCGAGACTCCATAGGTTATAACTATGATCATTACATTGGATATGTAACAATGGAATTTAGGACGCTCACAACAACTTAAGTCCAAAAATAAAGCTTGCCAAAAAACCATAGTATTAACCCTCAAATAAAGTTTTGTGTAAAACTATAAGAGATCATTAATATTTTAAAACAATTATAGGTGTTTTAAAATCTTTTTATGCTCTAGAAGCAACAGACCGTTTAAGTTACGTGGTTTGTTTGATACAATAGAGGACAAAATATAAATTATGTAACATATTGGTGTAAACTGTGTGTATTGATGATCAGTGATTCCATGTTGGATGTTTGTCGTTCCGTCAATACATAAAGAATAAAAGAAATCAATAGTTAAGTTATGTATAAGTTATGGGTATACTGCTAAATTTAAAATATATGCTGGTCAAGAATCTATCCCTGGAGTGATAGTTTTTACAAAAATTGTTGAGTCAGCTGCTGATCATTTAGATCTGGATAGAACTATGTTCATTGAAAACAGTACTGAACTAAAATTAGCAATAAAATTTCTTTTATAATTCTTATAACTTTCCATCATAACATTCCAACTACAGTAGAAACATATAATTTACGAAGCATTAACTGCTTACTTGTCGTAGATTTATAATGGTCTTACATAAAAGTGTGTTCTTGGAGCCAACAAAAAATTAAATATCTGAAAGTCAAACATCGTCGTGGATGTAGTATAGTACATAATAATAATTTTTATTATCTACACAAATTTAAAAACTGTAAAATAATTATGTTGAAAAAAATATAATAGTATTTAAAGCATTCTTTGTTTGTATAAGTTTCTACATTTCCACATACCGTTTATAGACTAAAAACATCTCAAGATAAAACATTAAACCCGTGTGAGGAGCAGCATGTATGTTCCAAATGTTTTATTCTATTTATAATTCTTAAATGTTTAACAATTATGTGGAATTCCGTGGAAATCCTCTAAAGTTTATCGTAGTTGTGTTATTTGAAATATCAATTGTCGTTGTTATTTGAATAAGTTTTCCAAATCCAACATATATTTTTTCGGCTATATTGTGCAATATAATTGGATTTTTTAAATAGTTCATAATAAACTTTACAAATGCCCACATTTTTCTCAAAAATGGTATTATCATTTTTGAATATTGCCATATCTCTTTTATTGTCTCTTCTTCCCAAATCATTGTTGGCATTACGAACCTTATAAATACACAAATGAGTTTTTTATTAAAATATGTTAAGTAATTAAAGCTAATGTGTATTAATTTTTGAAATAAATAAAAAAAGACATATTTAATAAAATGATTTGTGGTTGAGTTTCTACTAATTTTAATACTAGGTGAAAATTCTTTAAAATAAAAAGTGAACAATTATCTTTTGGCAAACCAAAAAAAAAATTATTACATAACTACCACAAGTACCATTTATTTATTTTTATCGCTAGGTAAGTATTTAATTATCCCCATCCCTAGAATTTAGCACTCTGAACACTCCCTTCTCAATCCTATTAAATAAACAACTACATTTACACATTGTTAGCTAATCAAATTATAATAATGTTGGTAGAGTTTATTAATTAAAATTTAATAATAAGGCTAGGCTAATGTGTAAAAATAATTACAAAATATAACATAACCTTAAGGTTCCTTAATTTTAAAATTTAAACCACCTAAAAACATGTGTATGCGTGTAAAAATGAATTACGAAAAATATTGAGACGATCAAACACGGTTAACCCATGTCAAATTGAACCTAAAATTTGAATTAATTTAATTTTCCAAAGAGAGAATTTTTTATATTTTATTAAATATTTTGCAAACCGTTAAGTAAATCAAAATCATTTACATAATATGTACATTATGTTCATAAGATATATTGACTAAATACGTACAAAAATACCGTATCCTCAAAATGATTATTGTTAAAACTAAGACTATTATTATTGATGGTAAATATTCATAAAATATGTAATATAATCAGATATAAGAGTTTATATATTATTGTAAACGAGAATTCTATAATTTTGTCTTATCGTATGTTTATTATATTATAACAGAAGACAATATATTATCGTTATCTAATAATTTATAACGCATACCTAACGCGGCATGGTTTCTTCTCAAAACATGTCTGTGTGCCGATTGAAACCGGTGGATCGTTTCTCAGTTCGATCAACAAACGTTTATTCTCCATTAACTCTATCATCTCCAACTGCAAAGCCACTGCTGCTCTATGTCTCTTTATTTCCAAACGTTTTATCATCTTTAACGCACTATTTATACGAGTTTTCAGCGCCTCCAACGGCTGTAAGTTTTCCTGTTTGACTTGGTTCACCTTCATCGCAATATCAATTATGGGTGAAATACTTTTCTCTACGGGCTGCACAAACCGTTGACGGTTTTTTATAGTTGATAATGAATTTAATAACCCGAAATTGAACATTTTTGTTGATACAATATAATTTATTAAAATACTTTTTATCGTCTACATGAATGAAAATGTTAATTAGTAATGTTTAAAAAATATTAAATTAAATATTCATACAATTTTAATTCTTTAATCAATCATTTATTGTCATGGAAATATAATAAAACTATTTATGAGCATATCATAATAAGATGGTAAATGAAATATTGTTATAAAAAATAAATACTTAAAGATTAAAAGATTAGTAAATGGGAATGAAAAAAATCTTTAATTTTTTTTTCGAAAATGTTCATTGTATTAAATTAATATAATTAAAGTAATAGCAACATTACAACTCTATTTTATCTTGTCACTAACAACTAAATTAAAATCTATGAGTCAGCGGCCTAATATTTTTCACTATGTTGTTGGGTGTCATGGGTTGTTCATCTACATAAAAATTAAAATAGAAAGGGAGCAATTACTGTGTCTTGGAGAACACCCACTTCATTTAATTCAGTGATTGAGGAGAGAACTGTGCTCGAGCATACGGATAAGTGGCATTTCCTCAGATACGATTTTGAGGTAAAGTGATGGTGATGTTACGTGCGTACTTCTAGCAATCTGATATTAAGTGATTTGGATAATAAAATAGTACAAAATATAACAATAAACAATATATTATTTTATTTAGTTAAAAACAAAGTATAGTACAATACTTTCAAAAAATTAATAATGATATGACGTGTAATTTTATGCAACCTCGACAAGGAAAAATTATATTTATAGGTCGAATGCAGACACCACAACAAAGAATGTATCCACTGCTACAACATCCTCCTCAATAACCAATGCATTCGACCTGCGCTGAATTTCTACAGTTTATAATCAGAGTACCAAGATCTATAAGTGGTCAAAATATCATTTTTGTAAACACTATCGCTGACAATACATTCGATATGTTCCAAGTAGTAGTAATTAGTCAGCTGGACCATACTAGAATTACCAATTACCTTTAAATTAAAAATATATGTGTCGTAGAACAAAATTCGACGAAATTTATTGTTAACGCATTGACGCATTAATATGAAAAAGAAGAGTATCTTTTTCAATGCTAGATTCGAATTTGTCAGCTAGAATTTGGGTGTAGCGACGAAGTAACTGATTATTTGTCACGAGGACTTCATATTCGAATTTGAAATAGAACATATCCATTGCCACTTAATATATCTAATAGACTAGGAACTGAATCTAGGTGAATTACCAGACCAATCAATATCCAGCATTATCCAAAACTTAATCTTATGCTTGTAAACTCGATTACTGTAAATTAGATACATTGTCAAATTATGTCTTAGATAGATGAAATAATATGTTCTATATTATTATAAGTTACACCTACACTTGACAAGTTATTATATATAATTTTTTTTTTATTTTATTAGTCAAATCAATGGGTGAATGTAAATTGTGAAGAAATGTTTGTTTCTTAGCAATAACAATGAAAAATACAATGGATATAAAACGTACTGCAAAAAATTCGAATTCAGTATTGTCCCCTATTAATTGTTTTGGTACCCAACCTCTTTCCAATACGTTGTGTAACATCACAAATTTTAAATTATAAGACCACCACCTTTTAACAATAAAAAACAGTTCTACTACATCTTTTTACTGTGCAGCATAATACAGTATAATTTATATCAAACTGTAAATGACTAAGTAAAATAATTTAATAGGTAATTTTTCACATGTATTATTTTTTTTTTTTTATTTCTTATTCTTCAGTGTCAGCTGCTTAACAACAAAAAATCTATTTCATAAATTATTAAATCAAAAAATTAAACTGATAAAATCAAATTTAATTTTCAACTGCATACAAAAATTCCTATGTGAAATAATTTTTTTCCATGAGACTGCAACTAATTTCCATATAATAAATGGTGTTGAATATTTGAATAATAAATGTAAACAATCATTGGAAAGACAATCAAAAGAATTAATACGAGCATTAAAAACACAGTAGAAACATCCGTTCAGCGATTTTAACACATACGTAGTGTAAGTATATGTCTAGGGGCTGGGCCTCTAGCCCCCCCCCCCCCTCAACAGTTGTGTAATGATAAGCTCACGCATCATTGTATATTATATAACTATAAAACTCAAATAAATAAAATAATGGTCAAATTGTCGAACGCAGATTAAAACCACATAAACATCCTTTCAACACTGATGAAAGAAACGACTTATATTATATGGTCACGAAGGGATTGACACATGATTTGTGGCAATGTGCCGCAAAGCGTGTAACCCAATTTCGTGTGCCGCCAGAGACAAGGGATAGTCCAATGAAGATCTATCACCTAGGAGAAAGCCTATTTCTTTAGAAAACGCGGAGACCTTTGATGGTACCGCCTGCGACTCTGGCTAGCTTGACCAAATCGCCTTCTCTCATCAGTGCATGGGCACCAGCCAAGCTATCGAGTGCAGGCAAACCAGACAAGCGAGCAAAAGTTCTTCCCAAAACCACCACACGGCACATACACAAGATTCTGAGAGCGACAGCTGGAAACCCTCTTTTTTATAAGTCAAATCAGACTTGTTTTTTCTAATTTAAATTTAAGTTCTTTTTAAGTCGTTTCGTAATTTGTGTCACCTTATATCTCTCTCCGAAGAACTTACAATAGGCATTCACTGCAGCGAATCAGCTAAGATGCACATCTAAAATACCTATTGTTAGTACCGGTTCTTTTACTATCTAATTTACGTAACGGTGCACTTTATTAAATATGTCAATATGATACAGTTTTTCATCTTACCTGAAATAGCAATGAACAACAATGACATTTTATTATTAGCATGTGTTCAAGTGTATTGTCAAAATTCATCATAATCCAACAATGATAAAGTATGTACACAATAATATTCAGAATTATAGTAAAATATTAATGACACCATAAAACATATTTTTTATCTTAAGGGGCACAATAGCATAGCGTTAAAAAGTAAAAACCACCGCCGTGCCATCGACCGTCTTTTTTCGCGTTTCTCCGCACTTCGGACTATATGACTTATGACTATTTAGTTACGTAACTCATTTTGTTATATATACCTTGTACGCTTGATTTTAGTCGTTGTTAATTTAACTGTTTGGTTTCAAATCAAGTAGGTCAACAGCCTTTTACAAGTGTTTTTTTTTTTGTTTACTGCTAAACTTCATTGCGCGTATACTCTCTACATAGAGTAAGTTGGCTCAATCTCTTGTACTGAGTGCATAGAGGAATGGTGACATCGTCTACGCCTCACAATGACATCAAGAACAAAAAACAAATGATAATTGACCGAAGCACGGAAAAGAATCCGTTACTAACAGAAATATTTTCACTTTGGCTACATTGTGAAACTCATTAATTCAATTAATTCAGTACAGTCAATTAGACGGGTAGAACATGACAAAAAATGGTCCTTATCGGCAGGCGGTATGAGTTTGAGCGAATGATTTTAGAATATTGTAATGTGTTGGGTGACTTTTTAATGTCCTGTATTTTATCAGTCCATTTTCCCTCTCATATTGACAGACTTGAACTAGTGATATTAAAAATCCGGATTTTTGGATAGGTATCTAGATTATTCGGATATGTAAATCCAAAATTTAATATCTGAATAATTCAAATAATTCAAATTTTTACATATCTCATGATTATAAAGGAAGGTTTTAAAAACATGTTTATGATTGATACAGTAAGTAGTAGGTAATAATTAGGGCTGGGATTTGTATGTAAATACATATTTTTAGTGAAACACGAT